AATCTGATTACAAAGTAATAAAAGATCTGTTATTCTGGGAAATATTACCAAATAAAATATAACAGTCACATATAAATAACCATCCCCGGCCCCTCAAAAAAAAAAACGCAAAAATTTATATCATGAAATCAAATGAGTACTTAAAAATAAAACATTTCCATGTTCCCTATAAAGCATGAACAAGAGCTGAGATTGGGACCCCAGAACATTTATTTAATTCTGTTTTGTTTTGTTTAATGTGGGGGGTTTGGGAGCACATCTGGTGACACTAAGGGTTTGCTCCTGGTTATGTGCTCAAGGACCACCTGTGGTGCCAGGGATCAACAGGATTGGCCACAAGCAAGGCAAGTGCCTTAATCCCTATACTATCTCTCCTCCAGCCTGTCTACTATCATTTTTTGCCATCCTCATATTCTCATCATAGTCAATATGTACTGTGATAATGCACGTGAGAGTTCCCCCAGCCCAAACCAACCAAGGGATCTGTACCAAAATCAAAATAGTTAGAAAAATAGTGGACTAATAGTGCTTTATTTTTCATCCACCCCCCTATTTATCTACCAAGACCTGCAGGACCTAAGCGCACAACTAATCCTCATCAATTTAATTAGAAATGCCACTCAAGTTGATGGCTGCATTAAGGCGATAGTCTAAAATATGATCATGTTTTGTTTACTTTCTGCTTGCTCCTGGTTAGCTGAATAAAGATTCCTAACTAAAAATATTAGAATCTAGGACAGGCAATTAAGTGTTCTACCCTTGTTCCCAGTTATGCGATTCCAAGGATAAAGCAACAGAAAGCCAATGAGCAAGACAACTGAGGTTTAAATGATTTACTTGACCTGAAATGTTCTTTGGTGATTTTCAAGAAAGTACCTACCTACTTTCAAGAAATCCATTTACAATGCAATGCAATAAAATACTTATCTGGTATGTTCTATCTTCTCAGAAAAAAATGATTTGTTGAGACTCTGAGATTTAAAATGAATCAGGATTATATGTCAGTTAAAGGAATGAGGAGCTTCTGATGAAAGAATTCGGAAGAAAACTTCTAGAGAATTAGACTCTGGGTCTCTTCATAAAACAATTCAAATATATTCAGATCTCCTATATTTGGAACATGATCAATAATGACTCAAAGTTGTTTCTAGACAAAATTTATTTATTCATAAATTCATTGATTCATAAATAAGGCTTGCTGTCCCTTGGAAGAATGAAGTTTAAAAAAAATCAAGGAGTTGGCCTGATAGTTGGGAGTGGGCAGGGAACTTGCCTTGTACACAGCCAACCAGGGTTCAATCCCCATTATCCAATATGATCCCACAAGTCACACCAGGAGTGATCCCTGAATACAGAGCCAGGAGTAACCCCTGAGCATCACTGGGTATGGCCCCCCAACAACAACAACAAAAGAATCAAATGTTTAAGTCAATCACCCTAAAATACCAAGATTAATAGAGACCAGGCAACTTAATTTTACCTGCATAAATTCATTTGTATATTCAGAGAGGGACATGAATCCCAGTAGAAATTAGCTACCCAGAAAGCAGTGAAGGTCTGAGCAAAATCATTCTAGTAACATAGAACCACAGGTTGAAACTATGTGTCAACTTCTGAAATAATCTTTTCCTGAATTACCTACTACTGTGCCATCCTTCCAGTTGCTCTCTTCAGTTGGACCTACTATATTAAGAAGTTCTCATTCAACATAGCATTGAAGTTCTCCTCATTCAACATAATATTCTCAGATAACTTCTCACTTATCTGAAAGAATGAGTAAAATCCATCTTCCTTCATCCAAAAATATCTATGATCAGTGTGTGCAATCAATTATGAAAAGTCCACACTTCTAGGCATGTGATTACAAGGAGCACAAATCTTATTTTACAGTATCTAGGTTCTGGCACATTTATAACATTGGGCCATCTCACACCTGAGATCTCTTTTATATGCAATTTCCTTCTGAAATTTAATTCAGTAGGTTTGCTCATCTGTAGAGCACTTGCCTTATTTGTGTGCTGCTGTGGGTTTGATTCCCTGCAGAGTAGATTCTAAAATTTAATTCAAAAGCAGGAATTTTTTCTTTAAAAGACCAGTAAGAATTGACTTGAGAGTCACAGATGAATTTGATCTGTGACTTAAAACACTGGAGAATTAGTAACAACTCCTGCAGTAACATCTCAAAATAAAAGAGATTAGAAAATTTTATCTTTCTTCTCTTCAAATTAAAATATAAAGTATTTACAAACAGCACAAACATTCAAGGAAAACATTTTTAAAAAGAAAGAAAATTAAGTTACATCTATACTTAAGCTAAAATAACGTTGAGAGGGTCAACACACATGCACAGATAAATTATTTATTTAGGAAAACCAGGTAATAACATAAACCTGATTCAAAGGCAAACTTTGAGCACTCACACTGGAGTTCTTAGGGATGACCACGTAATAGTTGCCCATGGGAATTTGTTATGATGGAATATAAGCAGACTGAGGAATAATTATTTTCTCTTCCCAAAGTTTCAGGCAAAACAAATTGTGGTTTTAAAATGTTTGTTTTAAAACCAATTTTATATTCAACACAGTCTGAAATTCAAGGGATTGCTAATTTAGTAGTTGTCCACTTGGTCTTACAAAATTCCATAGGCTTTGTTAAGTTTCACATTGCTAATTTTCCAGTAACCAGTTTTGTTTTCAAATGCCCCAAGGCCAGTTTTGAGTCCAAACACAAACTCTGGAAGTAAAGAAACTCCAGCATCAAGAAATTTAACAGACAGCATCAGGATCCCAGTGCCTGTCAATCTTCTTTAGTTTAAGAGATCTGTCCTCTTACATCCTTACCAATTTTGCTGAGTAGTTTTCATTTTGATGTCACAATTTACAGAAGACTCAATTATTAATCATTTTCACACCTACTGTTTACCTTATATAGAACGAAAAACAACTTTTCTACAAAAGATTGCTATTCACAATCCTAACAAACATTGAGTTAGATTTTTAGACTACTTTTGATAAAGAAATAAATGCTTGATAACTGTGTTTACATAGGGTAGTAGCAAACTCAATAAATATTAATTCAAAAGTAAAAATGTCTTAAGTTTATACATGCCATGAACAATTCATCAATGCCATTCATAATTTAACAAACTATTATTTTCTCCAAATGAAGCGTAATTAAAACTGAAGAAATATAACAATCATACTATGGGAAAATAAGATTCACTTTTATTAGAAGGAGGACTTTCACAACAACTTGTGTGAAATAACTGAATAATGAAAATTTTCCTGTTCTGGAAGCTGCAATTATGTGTAAATAAACACAAAGATTAGAAAAATGAGAAGTCTTCTAGGATCATTTGTAAATGCTTATCACCAAAGTAGCTAAAAATAAAGTTTTCTGGGAAGAGATCCACTCTTTCGTTATTTTGCTTTAGGTGATAAATAAGGCATAAGTCTCAGTTTGCCTTTTAGCAATAAAAATTCTGTCAGGGGTAAAATTTACAAAATGAAGAAGTAATGGCTCTTAACTAATTCAAAAAAGGATGTAATATAGTGATAATTTATTTTCCTGTTTTCAGTTTGATTTTCAATATTTTATTTATGAGGAGACAAAGACTATTTCCGGGAAAACACAGTGAACAATTACATCACAGTGTAAATATTTACTGGTGACCTAACAAGATATTCCTTTGCCATCCTAGCAAAAAGATTAAGTTAGGTAAATCCCACATTTGTGGAACATTAAAAATTGACCAATTTCGGTCAGTCTTGTTTAAGTTAATTTGATAAGCCAGGCAAAAGTAACAAATGAAAATATTTATATTAGAAATATTATATAATGTCACTTTTAAACGACAGTAATTTAATGCTATTTCAGATTATATTGAGTAAATGTGCCACGTTTAATATAAGAAAACTATACTTAAATATACTAAAAGTGTGCTCCTTTACTGTTTATAACTAATACTCTTTAAATAATTGTATATACATCAGCGTTTGCTATGGCAGTTTACAACACTGAGTACAATCACATATGATACAGTTAGTGTCCACAGCCAGAGAAAACCACAAAGAACATAAATACCAAAGAGAAGAGTATATAGACCCTCCAAACAAATATTATACCTGGGGTACTCAGATCTACTGAAGGGCTATCTGCAAATTTATTTAATTTTGATGCATTTTAAAACTAATTATAAAACTATAAATAAACACAGACTTATTAAGCTAATAATAGTCAATTTTATATTTCCCTTTTTTTCTGCACATGTATTAAATTTGAAATATTTCCTCTTGCTAACTCAAGTACAATCAACATGACAAGAAAGTTACTTTTGATAAGATTCTATCCTGCCCCCAAATATACATTAAAATGGTCAAATCTTTGTTTTTAAAAGTCCCATTGTCCCATTGAGAGCCTTTCTGTGTGACCTGGTGGGCTTTTTGAGATTGTGTATGATATATTATATTGTAAGCTTACTGCAAAACAGTACACTTTATCATATTTTAGAGCTGTAAAATCCATAATATTTCTTCCAGCAACCCATGACTGGATTTACTTCTGATTATCATCTATTTGGCAAAATACTTTAATAGGAGGATTTAATTTTGCAAGTGTCATATAGAAAAATCATCAAGTAAATTAATCTTTGTTATTTTGAAGGAAATTGCAAAAGCTTCATCACCAGGCAACAATCTATAGTTTTGATCTGTTTTTAACTATTTCTCAACTGTAGCAAATTTATAATTGTTCCAAGTCTCCTCCCCCTCCCCATCCTTCCCACCCAGGCTTTCAGTTTCAAATTATTTGTGTGGTTTAAAAAAACAAAGCATTGTAAATATCTTCTAGAATATCTTGCTCTGAGAATCTGCTTAGAAATCTCATGTTAAATGTAGTAAATGAGTCTTGGGATCTCCAGCTGGAACATACAGGTGTGGGCGTGAAATGGGAAAAAAATCACAAGAAGGTGCATGGAGTGACAGAGAAAGCTGAAATCTTACCTTTTGAGCTGCTTTGGAGGGACTCTTGTTTTTGCTGCCTTTGGGTCTTCCCCTGGGTCTCTTAGGAGAGGGCTCACCAGTTGGTTCCTAATTGTGGGGGGTGGAAAAGACCGTTGTGGCAAGAATGTCTGAAATAAGTTAACTCTGACTCTATAGTTCTATTTTCTGCTTGTCCTTCTCAGAAATGAAACACATTCCGCAAAAACAGATAATGATGGCCCAGAGTTTATAGAAAGGGGAAATAACTATAGTTTTTATCCAAGGATTCAAAGAGAACAACCTATTTTGCATATGAAAACTAGATCCCATTTCAACCTTTAAAAAGGTAACAAAGGCTGACAAGGTTGCTGTACTATCAAGAACATTTTAAAGTGTGAAATTTGCATAGTAAAATATTTGATATTTCATAAGAATATAAAGGCTCAACACACATACCTCTGTATATCCTACTAGTATTTCAAGGTAACAGAAATATGAGGCTGATATCAGAATATTTCCACAATTTTCCACATTAAAAAGATGGTCTTTAATCCTCTCTGTATCTTCATTGTAGGTCAATTATGACTCAATCAACACAATGAGTGAAATGTTGGAACAATTATCTAATTTCTTCAACTCAAAATAACTCCAATTCCCCCCCCAAAAAAAAATTCCAAATAATTATGGTAAATCTGTTTTGGGAGGTTTTGCTTGAATTACCTAGATAATTGCTTCAATTCTCCACTTCCTTTTGGAGATGCAGGCTTGATCTCCACTCTAAATTTAAATATCTTTCGATAAAAATAAACATTTTCCCCAAAACCTTTAAAAAAACTCTTATGGGGTGAGCTGAAAACAATTAAAAGGCATGTGTGTGGTGTGTTTGCAAAGTCAGGTAAGGAAAAATCTGGAGAGAAACTGAAGCTATCAATAGATTTTAGCAAAACTTTAAATGGCTTCAGTGACAAAGTAGTAAATACTCAACTGGCTAAGAGAATGCAGTGATTAATATTCCAGATCCCAAACATTTGTCCTGTGAATCACCAATTTACATTTCATTGAGATTTGGTGATTGAAGAAGACTAATCATCTTAAAGCGTATGAAGGTTCTCAATAAAAACTTGCGTCCTGTTTGGGAAATCTGGGGGAAAGTTTGTTGCATGAAAGCTTCTGTGAGCGCCAGTGGGTACATCCGGAGCAAACACATCGGAGACACATTTTTCTTTCTTTGTGACTCTGCCAGAACTCAAAGGTACAGCCTCAAAGCACCTCCAGACCCCACAGTCATTTCTTTCCGATTATTTGGGGGGTGGGGGGAGGTGAGAAGCAGTCCTTGGTCTGAGAACGCTGGGTGGCGGCTGGGAAACAAGGGGTAGGGGGAGGGCAGGGACTTCCTGGGAGGTGTAAAACAGGATCCCAGCGCTGTTCAAAGTGTCGCTGGGGCAGAGCGGGAAAACTCCTGGGCCTCTAGATTGGCTTGTTCCGTTTGATGATTTCAAAAGGTACAACCCTCCGCATTTTTCTAAAACGCGCCGGGCAAGCAAACATTGTTCGCGTTTCCTACCTTGCTCTCGGGTAGCTTTGGAACTATAGGATTATTTTCTAATCGTCCTATTTGCCTCGAAGGAAATTATTTAAGGCTAAGGAACCCAGAAGTTTTAAAACCCGCGGAAGCGGAATTTAAATGTTCTCAATAGACAAATCCTGCTGCAACCCAGCCTGCCGGGACTGGGATATTGCAGCGACCCCCCACCCCCATCCCAACACCCTTGGCGCTGCGCTCAGCTCTGCGAGTGCATGCTGCAAGTTTAATTGGTTGCATCCGCAGACAAAACCCTCTGCTCCGCGGGGTCCCGGGTGCCCCTCGACCGTCCCCTCCCCATATCCAGTCGCTCGCCCAGAAGAAGTGCATTGAATGTCTGCAGCTGTGAGGCGCGGAATCCAAGACAGAAGGGGTCCGGGGACGCCTGCAGAGGGACCCAGCTACCACCGGGACACCCTTACACTCTTTTCCACCGCGTCCTAGTCCAAATGAGTTAATCCTGTCCCGTGGGAACGCAGGCTCTCCCGGAGCCCCTGCTCCGGGACGTCGGGGCGGCAGTGGCCCAGCGAACCGGCTGCCGCGCGGCGTTTAAAGAGCCCGGCGAGGAGCCGACCGGCCCACGAGTTCTTTGTCGGGAGGGCGCGAGTCTCGGGCCACCGAGAACTTGGCGAGGGCGCCAAAGGGGCGGCTGCAGCGCGCCAGTCCCCCGCCCGCGAGCAGCCTGGGGAGGCGGGAGAAAGCGCCTCCGGCCCCCCGGGCTCAGCCTCTCCAACCCAGCCCCGCCGGCGCGCCCGCTTCCCCCACCCGCCGCACCTCCTTCCCGCGGGGCCACGGCAAAAGCCACCGGGAAAGCGCCCGCGAGTCCATCCTCGCCGGCAGGCTGGCCGGCCGCTGGCAGCCACCGGGAGCCCCCGCGCCTCTCGGTCCGGGGCACAATAGCGCCAGTCCCGGGACGCGCTTGGCCAGACCCCACCTCCCGGGCTGGAGGTGCGCGGGCGCCCGGGGACTCGGTGGCGCACCCGCGCGCGGTGCGTTTCGCAGCCCGCCCCCCGCCCCGGGCCGCCGGCCGCGCGCGGTGGCTGCGAGCCGCGGGGCTCCCGCGCTCCCCGGCACCGCGCCGCGGAGACCAGGGTGGGCTAGTGCCGCGACCCCGCCCGCATACTGACTTGCTGCTGCTTCCTGGGTCGGCCGCGTCCTCGCTTCTGCGGCGCCGGGGCGGCAGGTTGTCCCTGGGCTGAAGTGGACGGCTGCCCGGCGCCTTCACCGCGTGCGCTCATCCTGCCTCCCGCCGCCGCTACCGCTGCCGCCGCCGCCGCCGCCGCTCCAGCCGCAGGGTCTCCGCCGCCCCCAAATCTGCCCCGCACCTTTCGGGAGCTCGGGAGAGAGGGCTGGAGGAGGGAGGCGGGGTGCGCGAGGGCAGGCGGGCGGCGAGGGCTGTTGCGGCGTTAGGCTGCCGCCGCTGCCACCATCCACACCGGACGTCCAGCGGCTGCCAAAAAGAGAGGAGAGGGGAGGAGGAGGAGGAGAGAAGGAGGCGCTGCTGGTGGCGGCGGCGGCAGCGGTGGGTGGGTGCCGGAGGTGGAGGTGGCGGTGGAGGTGGCGGTGACGAGAGGAGGAGGCAGGCAGGCAAAGGAGGGGAAAAACGAGGGTGGCAAGTGGGAGAGGCGCCCCTTTCGCTTGGGGACCGGGAGTTGCGGTCACCGGGAGCACTTCGGAAGCGGCTTGGAAAGGGAAGAGACTCGGGAGTGAACTGTGTCCCTGGAAAAGTTAGGCGGGGAAAGAATTTCTCCTCCTCTTTCCCCCCTGGCTCCGCGCTCGCAGAGCAAGAAAGAGAAAAGAGAGGGAGAGGAAGAGAGAACAAGTAGCGCGGGGGGCAGTCGGCAAGCCGAGGGAGGATGGAGAGATCCGGCCGCGATCCCGTCGGGCAATGATCACGGCAAGGGAGCGAGCAGTGGGTGGCACCGCGCTTCCTCGGGTGGCGGGAGCAGGCGACTGCAGCACCCGAGCGTCGGAGGGGGACCGGCCGCTTGCAGCTTGCTGCGTCCTACACTGAGTGCGCGCTGCCGGGGCTGCAAGTTTTCTGAGTTCCTGCCCCGGGATTCAAGGGAGATGAGTGTGTGTGTGTGTTTGTGTGTGCGTGTGCGTGTTTGTGTGGGGGTGTGTGTGCGTGCTTGGAGAAGGGGGCGGGGGAGTGCCCACCTCTAATCGTGGGCGGATAAAGGGGAGGGGGCTACTCCGGAGGAAAAGTATGAGGAGGAGGAGGGAGGTCCGGCGAGCAGCCGAGCCAAGGCGCCTGGCCACGGGCCAGAGGCAGTGTTCGAAATACAACTGCCTAGGCGGCGGCGGCGCCCGGGTGCCACCCGGAGCCTCGCTCACGTGCTCCCACCCGGCGGCGGGGTTAAAGGGACAGGCCAGGGAGCCAGGACTGACTCGCCGCGGGGCTTACCCCGCCCGCCGCCCGAGGTCGCCCCTGGGCGGTTGGCCTTAGGAAGGCGCGGGAATGTGTCGGTCCGGAGCGGCGTGTCCGGCTTGGTTTTTACCTGCGCCTCCACGGAGCGGAGCCAACACTCTGCAGGAAGCGTCCAGCAGCTGCACGCGCGCGGCGGAGCTCTAGTTCCCCGGGAAAAGGAAGGGACCGGCGGGGAGTAGGCGCGCGCACCCCGCAGCCCTGTTTTCCCTCGGAATGTAGCCTCAGCTCGCACGATGCGGCGCGCACGGTACACACGCCCGCAAGCCACGCAGATACACGTGCACACCAGCGCGAGCTCGTGCCCGCATTCACTCACACGCGGCAACAAATACCCATGCACGCACGCCAGCAGATAAACATGCTCGTTCGCAGAGGCTTGCACACGTGCGAACAATGCTCGCGCGCTTGTACACACGCACAAGCACGTCTAAGTGGTGCACCAGCCTCTTGAGTCTCTCTCCCCCCCCCCCCCCCCCGTCCCCTTGTTCCCCACCAACTCCAGAAAGGACTAGAAACAACCCCCAGACTAGTTCTGTGCACCTGGATCCGGTCTTTCTCCCCTTAAAGGAGTACCGGCAAGCGGGAACCTCTGAACACCTCAACTGCGCCCACTGTCCAATTGTCTCTGCAGTTTATCTCGACTTTAACTTCTCCCTAGAAATTCTCTTTCTGCACAGTCCAGAATTTATAACTTGGAGTGTTCTGAGTTGTGTGAACCCCATCACGACGGCAGTCCGTTTTTTTTTTTTAATTTAATGAAGTGTATTTAAAAACATAGCTCTTTTCATCCTCGAAAAACCGGAAAAATTAAGTTCAAGATATTCACACCCAAATGATTTTAGACAATTCCAAAAATCAAAACCTTGATTCGCGGAAGCTATCCGCTCACACACACCCCCCACCCCCCAGACAAGATACAAACCACCTGGAATGAAACGCCCACTTCACGTGCAGAGCCGAGTTAGGCACTGCCAGGTTGCCCTAACTTGGGGGAGGAGGCGCGAATAAATGTTGGCTCTGGCGCAGCGGCGCTCATTGGTCCGCGTTGCCATTTTAAATCCATTTCCAGCTGCCCTTTGCAGAGCTGGGACACTTAGCTGCACGTTGAGTGCCCCGTAGAAACCCAGGGTTTCTCCCGAGTCTGGGAACGTTTAACTGTGAATGAGAGGCAAAGCCCCTATCACTCCGAATGGAGCCCAGCGACTGCCGTGGGGGGTGGCTAACAGGAACCAAAGGTTTGCTGCCAGAACTTGGCTGGAAGATAGTATCTTCATCAAACGGATTGAAATTTCACGTACTAACGATTGCAGTGACATTTCCTGGCTGCCAAGTTTGCACGTTTTTAACGTGATTACATTAGCACCGTGGTGTGCATATTTACATGCACATACAAAATGGGCTTCTGGGTTTCTGTTTGTTTGCCCCTTGCAAGAAATATAAATAGAATTCTGAGCATGAATGTAGGAAGTCAGGAAGGATTTCAGCCAGCCAACTTATATCTCATGTCCTCAGATATCTTTTTCATATGCACGGCCGACAGCAAGTAGGCGATTCCAAAATTTATTTCTTTATTAACCACTGACTCTAAGAAAAGTTAAAAGTGGGAAAATATCTAGCCTTCCTCACTTTGCTATCAGTTTGACTATTTTAAAAAATTATATCAAGAAGATATGAAACAAACGTTGCACGAATTTTTGTTTACATCAACTTTATTTTTACTCTGAAAGATAATCTACGTTTTTCAGTTTTTTGAACATTTTCTTTAAGGTAGATATTAAAATTTGTTTTTATCTTTGAAATTCTTGAGATTTTTGAAATGGTATCCTATAACGACTTAATAAATTTTAATTTTAGAAATTGATTGTTTTACCATTCCATGAGAAGTTTTTCTTTCTCACTGCTAAGTTTCAGATTGTTCACTTCCTCCCCTTTATCTTACCACATTTTACCCATTTAAGACAAAATTCTTATTTCTAATCTGAAGTCTTTTCAGGTACATTCCACATTCAACTACTTCTTTTCTTCTTCTGTACCTACTATAAAACTGCACCTACTATCAATTAGCACCTTGCTTGTATATGTTAACAAGCTTTCTAATTATCTGGGGGACATGATTTAGTGTTTGGATCAATCAGATCATTAGTGGGTGTTAAAATGAATTCAGTGGATCCCATAACATCATTTAAAAAATGAATGGAATGCAATAGAGAACATCACTCATAAAAATTCTATTTTCATTTTGTAGCTCAAGTATGTCAAACATTACTAGAATGTTTTTTTTTAATGTGAAAATTGGATATGTTAGTTTTCCAGGTTTCTTATGAATGTGTTATTCTCTACTAGATACATTTTTCTTTTCTTTGTTAGTGATATGTATTATACTAATGTATCAGATTGTCAGTGAATCTGGAAAATAAAATGTATTTAAAGTGTATGTCTTACCTGGGTCACAGTGTAATATGTTTGAATGCCAGTGATTTAAATACCTTTGAGACCTGTGTTTCTTTACAACTTTACTAAAACAGTTCCATTCAAGATTTTTTTATTCTTATTAAAGTATTGGTCTAACAAAATTACTGTTAATAAGTCTTGATAACTATTTTACAAATGTTCCAGAGGATTAGAAAATCATTACATATATTAAAATACATGCAAATCAAAATCCTTTTGGCTGAAGGACAATTCATGTCTTATGAACAGACTGTTTCTAAAGTTGCACTTTATCACATTATAGTTATACTTTAATATAGGACATATTTAATGTAGTATGATATAATGTATACTTTAAATAGTATACTCAGGAATAATTTAAGGATTTTCTCATATTTTTCTCATTTTATAACTGAATTAATCATGAATGTGTTTTATATGTAATTAAATAAATTTATTATGGAAGTCAATTTATATAGGCTTATGGAAAAAAATGATTAGTGTGTATATAACAGAATATATTATGCATATATATTATAACAGAGAGCTCTGAATGGTGTTTTGGATGTATTGAATATTTCTTTAAAATATTTCCAGTGAGTTAACATGAAAATTCATTTGCAATGCTCATATGCAATTTTAGAGATTGTCATTTAAAGTATGTTTAAAATTTAGTGAAATGTAGAAAAGGTTATCTCTAACAGTTTCTCTATAGAAACTGTTTCCTTCCCACACTCCCTCCTTTTCTTCCCTGTTCCTTCCTTTATTCCTACTTTCCTCCCTTCCCTCCTGCCCCGCAGCCAGTTGTACTCATGGCTCTGTACTCATGGGTCTCTGCTCAAGTGTCACTCCATGCATTGCTTGGGGACCATAAGTGGTACGAGGGATCAAACCCAGGTTGAATATGTGCAAGGCAAGCACTTTACCTGCTATACTATCAATCCATCCCCCTTTTAGGTGGTAAATGAATTTAGAATAGAGAAATTATCCAGGTAAGCCTGACAGAATAATATGTGTGCTTTTAATTAATTAATTTATATATGTGTATGTGTGTGCTTTTTAAAGCAGGCAATTTTTCTTGGCTGACCTTAGGAGAGGAAGTTAAGGAGCTAAAGATTCACAGGAATCTTTTAGCTGACTATTGCCAGTTTGAACACGGAAAGGACACAGGATAGGGAATCTAGCAACTTCTCCTTGCTGAGGGCAGTCCCAGAATAACAGGTGCAAGACAACAGCAATTCCACTGAAGCAGAGCCTCAGAGGAGAGTTCAGTGAGACCAACAACACCTTGATTATAATCCTTGTGAAACTCCAAGCAGAGAAAACAGCTACACCTTCTGACCTAACAAGTGTGAGCTAATGACTGAGTATTTTAAT